GCTTGATGAGAAGATGTCTTTATTGCTGGCCGACAAGGAAAACCATTCATCATCAAGGTCAGCTTTGTTGAATATACTTATGTTTTTGATGAACTTTCTATTCTCCGCAGCGCATTTTCTTTTTTTGTGGGAAAATCGGAAACTTAGGTTTTGAATTTTATCATATCAGTGATTTTTTGCGCTGAAAGAAAAGCGCAAAAGGTAGAAATGAATGGAATGTTAAAGAGATAAGTGAAAATGATGGAAGATGCGGGGTGTCAAAAATTAGACAAAAGAAAGCATCAGAAAAAACTTCACTTGACAAATTGAAGTTATTTGTGGAAAATCTGATAGACCTAAAAAACTTACTTTATAAAAATAAAATCCCGTAATTGCTCGCTGTGGAATGATTCGGTAAAACACGTGGAAACCTCTAGCATAGAATTATGGCAACTCAGATTTGGAAGAGTTGTTTTGCTGAGCAGCACAGAAGTTCGGTCTGACTTTGTAGGCTTATACCCAGTGGTAAATTCGAACTTTCTCTCGCCTTCTACTCAAATGTAGTTTCAGCGCTGTGGAAATACAAAATCGGCGCCTACAACGTGAAATAAGACAAAAAGATGCGGTAATTGAGGAGCTGCGGCAGAAAGTGACCTTTCTTGAACGCCGAGTAGCTGACTTGACCGGCGAAGAGCTTCCGCTCAGATATGGTAGGATCCGTTCTTTCAGCAGTGGTCTTTTCTTTACATTTGCTTATTACGACATGATTTTATTACTGATACATCAGCGGCATGAGGGAAGAACGGGCTTAATATTTGATTAATTGCAAAAAGCAAAAAAAGACAAAACCTGAGATTGTTTCGGCTCTGGAACTAGTATCGTTTAAGAATTTCTTACTTTGTTTAAATTTTGTGATGTGGTGAATCGAGGGGAAAGGAAGTAGTTGCTTCGGTGCTTGGCCTGCCAATTTTAACAGACCTCAGTGCATCATTTAAATTTTGTGTGAAAATTTTTTGACAGGAGGTTGAGTTGTGTGGATAAACTTAGCGCAGCCAAGATTTCTTGAAAAAGAAAGGGCACTTCGAAGGTATCGATCTGAACACAGTCTACTTTATAGTAGTTCATCAAAGAGCTCATTGGAGTTATCTTACTGGTAACAAACGTGAATTGTTCACGTATGTGGTGAATTAATAGAAAAAATTATATGCACGAGGTACAGAATAATACTTTTAAAAAACAAAGATCCTGCGATACGCATCTTGAAGTGAATGGGTACATCTGACCTTTGACGTCTGGCTGTGCTTTCGACTGAATGATATATGTACTGCTATTTACCGCACAAATGCAGCAACACATCGTTCGTAATGATAATGAGGATAGGCTTTTCTTTCTTGGCTGCAAATGCAAGGGCCTTTGGCGTTCACCCGTTCATTCATCAAATGCTTCTGGTGATTTGTTTCAGTTGTTGCCGCTCCACCCCAGCAAGCCTTTTCTTTTCCTTTCATGACAAAATGAGGTGTAAATTGTCTTTACAGAATTGCCAAAACAAAGGAATCGGTAAGCTTCAGTGAAAATTTGAAATCTTTTCATAAAAACTTTGAGCTTCTGCTACAGTAAGTAGCTTTGGGCTCGATGCATGATGTGATTGCTTCCAACAAAATTTAGGATCACCGGTTTTTTGGAGGGATCTTTAAAATTCATTTAGTTTATCGGCTTTCTTTAATGGGAATCTTTAGAAATAATTTAGTGTCGCATTGACTCTAAATTCTTTTTTGTTCTTTTGAGAAGTTTTATTGACGTTACAATAGTTGTCAAATATTCTGGCATTTAGTTCTTAAAAAACGGGCCACTTTCGCAGGTGCTGATGTTTTTCTTCGGCATAGCTATAGCCAATGCATGTCTTTTTCAAAGTGGCGTCGGGGTTTCTCTTAGTTATAACTCGCGCAATCGTGATTATTACCGTGACAATTTTTGTAGTCAAAATTTTATTTAAATTTTGTGTTTTACATGGTGATCCTAGATTGGATAAAAATATTAATATTCTTCTTTTTGTGCCCTGTGTTGCATGCTTTCTACACTGACCGAGTTTTTCCCTGCCCTATTTTTCCAGCAGTGCATGTGCTACTGTCTCGCCTCCTTCAGCTTTCTTACTTTCCAGTAGCTGCTTCGCTTACTTGATTATGAAACATTTGTGCTTAGGTACGTTTGCGCCTTGCCATTTTTCATGCTACATTCTTCTTGCCTCGCTACACAGACATAGCACACACAAACCTATAAAAACACAGATGCATCGTGCACATGTGCATGCTCACATACATGCATATTAGGACCGCCCGAACAAACGTTTTTAGGGTTTCAT